CCTCAGTTCAGTTTCAATCTTGTGTCAATAAATAAACTGACCAAGAACAAGTCCCTATGCTTAACATTCTTCTGTGATGTATGTTTGATTCAGGACATGCAGCTGAGGAAGATGACTGGTTCTGCTAAACTTTTTCATGGCCTCTACCTAATTGACAACCCCCCTATAGACAGTAAACCAAACCACATCACAGCAGCCACTACACAGGGTTTTAATCTTTGGCATTACAGACTAGGACATGTTTCTCATTCCAAAGTTCCTATTTTGCAACAACTATGTACATCCATAGAAACTTATAGATCATTACCATGTGATGTCTGCCATTTTGCTAAGCAAAAAAGGCTTCCCTTTCCTACTAGCTCAACTGTTTCTGTCAAACCTTTTCAGTTGATACATGTTGATATTTGGGGTCCAAATTCAATTCCTAGTCATGATGGGTTTAGATACTTCCTAACTATAGTTGATGATTACACCAGAATGACATGGATCATTCTTCTAACTGCTAAGTCAGAAGCAAGACCAAAACTACAAAGCTTCTGCACTTACACTGAAAGACAGTTTGAAACACCAGTTAGAAGGTTAAGGAGTGACCAAGGTAGGGAATTCCAAATGACATATTTTTTCCAACAAACTGGCATCTTTCATGAACAGGCTGGTGTGGAAACCCCTCAACAAAACATCAAAGTTGAGAGGAAACACCAACACATCTTAGCTATTGCCAGAGCCTTAATGTTTCAATCACATCTACCTACTGCTTTTTGGGGGGATTGTGTAAAGCATGCTGTTTACCTCATCAATAGGGTCCCTACAACAGTTCTAAACAACCTGACCCCATATGAAAAACTACACAACAAACCCCCTGATCTCACAGATCTTAGGGTCTTTGGTTGTTTGTGTTTTACCAGCACAATCACTAGCCACATAACGGGTGTGTTCATTGGTTTCACTCTAGGAATCAAAGGCTACAGGATATATGACTTGACAACTCATGAAATGTTTACTTCAAGAGATGTCAAGTTCCATGAACAACACTTTCCCTTCCAATCCTCACCATCATCACTCACTACAGACTATCCTAACCTTTTTCCCAACACTCCCAACCCCTCTCACTTTGATGATTTCACACTCTCTCCCCATCCCTCTCCCACATTCCCTCCCAATCCACCTCCTTCCCCATCACCAACTGATCCCGACTCTGATTTAGAAACAACCACCCCTCACCCATCTCCTCCACCACAATCATCCCCAGTACCATCTCCACCCCCTCCTCCACCTCCTCCAGCCCCAACCAGAAAATCTACCCGTGTTGTTAAACCCCCATCCAAACTACAATCCTACCACTGCAACCTCTTACAGCAGCAGGCTTCCACCAGTCATTCTTCCCCACTGCATACTCCAGGTATCTCTCATCCTCTGAGTAATGTTATTCACTATGATTCTCTAGAGCCCTCTCACCGAAAATTTGTGCTAAGTATCTCTTCTTACAAAGAGCCAGCTACTAACGAAGAAGCCATCTTATCTCCTGAATGGAATGCTGCTATGGAGATTGAGAAACAGGCTCTAGAAAAGAACCATACATGGGACATAGTTAAAAAACCATAGGGTGTCAGACTTGTTGGCAACAAATGGATATACAGACTGAAGTTTCTATCTGCAGGGATTATTGCAAGGCACAAGGCTCGCCTTGTTGCTAAAGGATACACCCAACAAGAGGGTGTAGACTACCAGGATACTTTCGCCCCAGTAGTCAAAATGACCACCATCAGACTGTTCTTAGCCATTGCAGCTTCACAAAGATGGCACATTCATCAACTTGACATCAACAATGCATTTCTACATGGTGAGTTGCAAGAAGATGTCTATATGAAGCCGTCTGAAGGATACATAGCCCCTCCTGGTTTTACCAATCCTATCTGCAAGCTAAGGAAATCCCTATATCGTCTAAAACAGTCTTCTCGCCAATGGTTTGCCAAACTAGCAGAGAAGCTAAGACAAAAAGGTTACATTCCTAGCCAGGTAGATCACTCTCTCTTCTACAAAGCCACACCAACCTCCTACACCTGTGTTCTTGTATATGCCGATGACCTAGTGGTGGGTGGCACTGACATTAATGAGATCACAGCTTTGAAATCATTTCTACATCAACAATTCAGCATCAAAGATATGGGGGAATTGCACTACTTTCTTGGAATTGAGGTTGCCAGAACAGATTCTGGAATTCACATCTCTCAAAGAAAATACACTCTTGAGATAATTGAACATGCAGACCTGCTTCACAACAAGCCAGTCAGCACTCCATTGACAACAAGTCCCATCTTTCAGACTCTATTGATGAACCCTACCCCCATCCAGAACATTACAGACACCTAGTTGGCAAGCTAATTTACCTCACTACAACAAGACCCAACATCAGCTTTGCCACACAACAGGTCAGTCAATTCATGTCACAACCTACAATTTCCCACTACAAGGCAGTTACAAGAATTCTTCGTTACCTGAAGCATGCCCCATCAACTGGCCTCTTGTTCTCCTCATCTTCATCACTCCAATTGCAAGCCTTCAGTGACTCAAACTGGGCTGCCTGTGTCGACTCACGACGCTGAATTACTGGCTACTGTGTCTACCTTGGCTCCTCCCTTGTCTCGTGGAAAAGAAAGAAACAAAGCACCGTTTCTCGCTCATCTTGTGAAGCTGAGTACCGCGCCCTCGCATACACTTCCTGTGAGGGACAATGGCTGCTCTATCTTCTCCATGACTTCCGCATTCCACACCCGCAGCCAGTCTCCCTCTATTGCGACAATCAGTCTGCAATTTACATCGCCCAAAACCCCACCTTCCATGAGCGCACCAAGCACATTGAGCTTGACTGCCACTTCGTCCGGGACAAAATCCAGGCGAACATCATCAAACTTCTCCACATCTCCACTGTCCACCAGCTGGCCGACCTCTTCACCAAACCACTGCCGCCGGCGACCTTTGCTCTTCTCCTCTCCAAGCTTGGTGTCCATGAACTCTGCCCACCAGCTTGCGGGGGGTATCAGGGGAGAATTCAAAAGAATTGATTCTCCCGCTTTCTGAACAGAAGAAGAAGAACAGAACTTGGAGTGACGTCGTATCAGGCACGACTTGAAGAACGGATTGGAACGACAGCGTCTCAAAACAAGCTGAAGAAAGGAATGGAACGACAACGTCTCAAGACCACTTTGTCAAATTTCGTTTTAAGTCCAAATGTTATGTTTTTAGACACTTTTCCATTTATGCATTGTACTTGCTTCTGATGCAAGGTTGTCTTGTTCTACAACTTTGATACAGCTATATAAGCTGCCAAAACTAATGAGAACAACAGGGTTTTCAGTTCTCACATTCACAAGTTGTTGTTACCCGCCGACCCAGCTTCTCTCCCCTACGGCTAGCAACTCCCCTCCAGCCACAACTCGACGAACTGACGAGTAAGTCCACTGTTCTTTTTTCTTCTTCTATTTTTGCAATTTATTTTGGTAGCAGATGGTTTTATGTGGATTAGTTGAATTTATTTGTTGTGTGTTGTTAATTTGTTGTTTGGAATTTCATTTTATTATGGAGTAGGGCTAGTGATTGTAGTTGTTTGTTGTGGTTATCAATTGTTCTGTTTGTTGGTTATAATATCGTGATTGTTGTTTCTTGTATAGTTTCACTCATGGAGAATACAGAAGCTGCCAATGATAATGATTGTGTGGTGGTAGAAGGAAAAGATGTATGGCCCGAACAAGTTTAGAATTTTATGATTGAATTGATGGTCGAGGAAGTGAAGAAGGGTAGCAAGATTACTAATACCTTCACAAAATTAGGATGGGCCAACATAAAAAATGGAATAATGAGTAAGTTTAACAGGGACTATAACGATTACCAACTGAAGAACAAATTTAACTAATTTAGAAGAAGGCATAGGGATTTCAAGGGCATGATTAGTGAGACGGGAGTTTGTTACATTACTGCAATGGGAAAGGTGAGCGCTTCTGAGGATCGTTGGGAGAAATGGAGTAAGCAGGTAATTGAACATTTCGTTCAATTTCAATAAATATGTGTTTCGATTTTGAACTTAGAATTGATTAGAACGTTAATGTGTAGGGTCTAAAAGGTTGTATCGGGTTTAGGAAGTATGGTTGTCCAGAATACAACAACCTTTGCATCATATTTGGTGACACTACTGCTTCTGGTGGCAATGCTTTTGTCTCTACTCAAGAAGTCTCAGATAGCAGTGGTGGAAAAAGTCGAGAGGACAACGAGGAAGGTTTTGTTCTTGCTGATGATGCCACTGATCACGCCAAGGAAGCAAAGGTCAAATCAAAGGTCAAAGGCAAGAAGAGGAAAGCAAACAAATCTACCTATTCAACTGCGGTAGAGATGGCAATAATTAGCATGGCGGAGAGTGCTAAAAGGAAGAATGATAGGCATGATGCCAAGACTGCTGCATCTTCTGTGAAAGGCCCTATGAATGAAGTATCTTCGCAGGACAAGGACCTAGATATTATGACAGAGTGTATGAAGGTTTTAGATGAGATGGATGGTAGTGTGTTTGTCAAGGCTATTGATGTTCTCCATGATAATCCACTAAAGCGCGGTCTCTTTCTGCGCATGACAGAGAAGAGAAAGAAAGAATGGCTGGAAGGTTTGGTGTGATTGTACAACGCCGACATTGTGTGTTTGTGTTTGAGTGTTTGAGCTATGTATGTTTTAGTTGAACAATGTTGTTGAGTTGAATGTTTGAGTGATTATGGTGTAAGCACAATTTCAATAAAGTTTGATTGTAATTTATTATTCTGCAATGCAGACATATGGCTTCTGGTTCTGATGCTGATTCTGATGATTATTTGGGGATCTTCATGATGCATTTGTGGTTGTTGGAGAAAGAGAGATCCAATGTGTCTAAAGTGCCATGTAGAACCTCAGACAAAACTAGGCATGCCTGGGTTAAAGAGCTTCTTCATGGTAATCCAACAAGGATATATGAGCAACTTCGGATGGACAAAGATACGTTTCTTGCTCTTTGTGAGGAGTTGAAACAAAATGGAGGGTTAAAGTCCACTACGAGAGTCACAGTTGAAGAAAAAGTTGCCATATTCCTCAAGACTATAGGTCACGCTAATGACTTTCGCGATATTGCCGAAAGGTTTCAACATTCTACAACCACCATCTCAAAGTACTTTGACAAAGTATTGAAAGTTGTGGTCAAGCTTGCAAACAAGATTATTGTTCCACCAAATTTCGATAACGTCCCTGACAAAATTGTTGGTTCTAGACATGATCCATATTTCAAGGTAAATAAATACTTACTCCATAGTTACTAGTACAATATTTACACATGTTTGTTGATCATGTCCACTTTTGTGATTACATAGGATTGCATTGGAGCTATAGATGGAGTGCATATTGATGCATCTGTTCCTACTGCTGAACAAATTCCATATCGAGGACGCAAGGCGACAACAAATCAAACTGTGGTGTGTGTATGCTCCTTTGATATGCTTTTTACTTTTGTGGTGGCTGGATGGGAAGGCACGACAAATGATGCTAGAATTCTCAGTGAAACAGTTTCAAATCCAGATAACAAGTTCCCGATGCCACCACGAGGTACTTATTATTGTTTGTACATAAATAAATCTCATGTAATTATATACTAATTGACTTGCTATATGCAATGTAGGTAAGTATTCTGTTGTTGACTCCAGATTTGCGAACATGCCTGGGTTCCTAGCACCATATCGAACAAAGGAGCCTACTCATTTAAAGAAATCAATCGAGGTGGTGGACCTAAAACTCGTAAACAACTATTCAACTATTATCACTCATCCCTACGCAATGTCATCGAACGTTGCTTTGGAGTTTTGAAGACCAGGTTCCCAATTCTGAAACATATGCCTTCTTTTTCACTAAAGAAACAAGCACAAATTGTTATTGCTACATGTGCTCTACATAACTTTATTAGGATTCACTCTTGTGAAGATGTACTATTTGAAGAATATCAGAATTATTATATGGAGGAGGGAGTTAATGGAGTGCAAGGAGTTCTGGAAAGAGAGGAGTATTGTATGAGTTAAAGCCGAACACGACAAATGGAAATTCGACGTGACGGAATAGCGGAAAAGTTGTGGGATGACTTCCAAGCTGGACTCCTTTGACATTTTTTATTGTACTTCTACTTATTTGATACTGAATTATGTACTAGTGTCAGGAAATTTGGCAAATTCTCATTTCCAGGTCTAGTAACCAACTAAACAGGTTTTCATTTTCAGTTTACAGTTTCCGGTTTCACAAAAATCCCAGCTAAACAGGTTTTCAGGAATCGTTTTTCAGAAAATGGCAGTTTCCATTAGGGGTGAACAAACCACCCACAAACCGACCCAACCGTCCAACCCGATCCAACCCACCCGTATTTATCGTCAAAATTAATATTTAAGGTTGGGTGAGGGTTTTAATTTGTACAACCCGCCTCGATTGGGTTGGGTGCGGATTTTGGGTTGCGCAACCCATAGAAACTGATCCAACCCATGTTCCAACTATTGTCATAAATGTTCGTATACAAAACATATTTGTGTAGTATATAAGCATATTCATGAGAAAATTAAAATATTTTATCATACTTTTCTCTTGTGATTTTCCTTGTCTAATGCATTATTCTAATTCGAATTTAGACCTATATTAATATAGGCTACCATTCATATAATTTATTGTGTGTACGATTTTAGAAGAATAATATATATGAATAAGTTCACTTATGTTTAAGCAAATGTTTGTGGGAAAAACTAGACTTTATTTTATAGAGGGAAAAACTAGACTTATGTTTAAGCAATTTGTATTTCATTAAAATGCAAACACCATTTATGCATTTTGATACTTTTCGCTTTGATTTATTTGTTTAAGATTTTAATTTATTTGTTTAAGATTTTAATCAGTTATATAATATTTTGTGGTGTATAATAATTGTCTTTTTTATGTTGGGTTGGGTTTTTAATTAAAAGTATCTCCAACCCGACCCAATCCAACTATAAACAAACCGAAGGATTCTAAATTTTTTGGATGGGTTTGGATTTGGATTTTTCAAATCCGTGATGTATGAATCGGGTGATTAAAATGACCGAATCCGAACCACCCGACCCATGTACACCCCTAGTTTCCATTTCTCCAGATTTCATTTTCCGTTGCCAAAATGACAGAAAACGGAATGAGAAGTCAACAGGCCCTAAGGCTAACTAATTATAACGGCTGTAAAAAATACAATTATTATACAATTAATTGTAGGTGTAAATTTTGTCGACCTATTTACATCCAGTTACCAAATTAAACCACTCGTGTTTTAAAAAGAAACTTTGAAATTTGTCTGAAGAAAATTTTTGAGAGAAATTTTACAATGCTATATAGCATCATATAGCATTGGTGCTATAGGTTTTTGCTTTTATGGTACAACTTGAAATTGTACATTTTACGTTATGGTACAACTTCAGATTGTACCTATACTTTTTGTACAAATTTTTTTATGGTACAACTTAAACTTGTACCTTATGTGATGGTATAACTTCAAGTTGTAAAATTGTACCATAACATAATGATACAAATTCCTTTATGGTACAACATAAACTTATACATTTAATGTTATGGTGTAACTTCAAGTTGTACATTAAAATATCAATGCTATATAGCATAGTAGAAATGCTATTTTTTGAATGAACTATCATGATATATTGAACTCGTTGGTTTTTTCTCTGCAGCGCTTGATTAAACTCTAACATTTTGTGGCGTATATTGTCGCCAGGTATATAACGAGTGACTGTGAATTACTATCTGTTTTTTTCCCGCCTCATAGAAGCTGTTTCTTTCAATATGAATTGAACTGAATAACCACCTGTTCTTTTTCTGTTCTTTTTCCCCCATGGACCGATATGAACTTCAGTTCACTTTACTTTATTAGTTGCTTTTCATTCCGGAGGTGAAAGGAGACACAATATGAAGATAGATAAGGACAAAACAGTTTCATTTGATGGAGATAGAGCGAGAGAGACAAAAATTTGAACCAGAGAAAGAAGAAGAAAAATATTCAGTTCAGTAAACACTGACTGAGATAATAGAGGAGAGGAGAGGACCACCATCTTCTTTTCTGCCCAGTTGGAGATTCTCAATTTTATATATCTGGAAAAATGGGTGAAGACTGAAGACTCAAGTCCTCTCTCTCTCTCTCTCTCTCTCTCTCTCTCTCTCTCTCTCTCTCTCTCTCTGGATCTGAATCGTGCACATCGTGGGGGTTAATAAAGGCAGCTAGCTAGCTAGGGCCAGCTCTGGCCGGCCCTCCCTCTTAATTTGTTGTTCCAAGTTGCTCTTTTTCCTTTGATTTTCCCTTCAGCCAAGCCAACTCAATTAATTTGATCATGTGTAGAATTTAATACGCCTGGAATCCGGGATCTTCACTTGTTCTTTTTCTTTTTGATTCTCGGCAGCATTCTATATTAGGGGACAATCGACCAAGGAGAATTAGTTGCGGTCTTGTGTATACACCTTAGTCATGTACCTCATAGCCAGACAATGATGACAAGAGTTAGGGCATGTTTGGAGGTTGTGATTGTGTAAATTGATGGATTCAATGAATTGGTGTATTGTAATTATATGTATTGTGCAAATTAATGTATTTCTCAAATACATTGTTTGGTATCTATGATTCTACTTTTTATAAATTAAAAAGCAACACACCTTTTTGAAGAAAAATACACATTTACCCTTCAACGTTTTGTTCTTGCAATGAAAGAAGAAGAAAAAAAAAGCAAAGAATTATCGTCGTCTCGCCGCTACCACATTGTTGCCGCTAGAATTGCAGAAACTTCAAAGCTTCCTCGATTTCAAAAATCAACTCCAGCCATCACAATTAATTACTTTCCCTTATATCCCTCTCAACTCAAATCCCCGCCAAGAAATCAATTACCAATTAGCACCATCCCCTCTAAACTCGAAACCCCACAAGAAAAGGAAGTGCGCTGGTCCCTGTTTCAGACAATATTAAAGAAGAATTGGGTGGAGGGGGAAAATCCATAATTCTCTATACGAGTTGGATCTACCGCCTAATTCAAGATCCCCCTGGGCCAATCTTCTGAAAACCCTAAGAGATATGAAGAGAAAAAGAAAGGCGAGGGCATGGTGCTGGGTTTGTGAGGTAGTAATTCGCAACAGAAGTCAGCTCTTCTTCTTCGACGATTCTCGATGGCGAGATACAGCTACCAAGCCGATTCCGTGATGATGGTGAGGAGGCAGCGATTCCTGTGGGACTTCAAGGATTAGCATGGACTGAGGAGCAGGAGAGTTCAATGATTTTTCTTTTGGTGGACTTCCGACGACTATCGTCAAGGGAGGAGCAGGGAAGTTTTCTCCCTTTTTTGGCTTTCGTAGAATTTTGATGACAAGGATAGAAGAGTAGTGGAGGATGGGATTATTGTTGGTATAAAGAAAATATAGTAGGGACAAAAATGTAATAAAAAGATATGACACAATCCTTTGTTTAGAATCTCAATTTTAGGTAGAGATTCACAATAATCCATTTTGAGGGATTGTGAGTGGGCCCCCAAAAAGGTAATGCATGTATTCTCTTACAAATTTGACCAAAAAAACGACTTAATCTTCTCAATGCATGTATTGGCTAAATCCTTCATCTGAAATCCTAACCTCCAAACGACCCCTTAGTTTCCTTTGCATAGGATGAAATTCTCGATTGCCATGATGATGTGAACTATCTAATGTGTCCAATGTCGGGTTCCACCTATGAAAGTCAGGTTAGGGCTAGAATTAAACTCTTGCTATTACCTATTTGGCTTAAGTATCCGGTTAACATCATGGGTTATTCTTTTGAATTGCTGTTGTGATTCAGTAATTCAAACTTTGTATCGTTAGGACGGCGAGATGTATAAGAGGTTAAAAGGCTTAACTATTCCTTTCCCAACAACTCGAGTTATTGGGACCAAGTGGTTAGTTCGCTAACATGTTATCAGAGCCTAGAACCGAAATGTCATGGTTTCGAATCCTCATGACGACCCCATTGTCAGCCATTTGTTTAGCACAAGGGATGGTATGTCCAACCTGTGCAAACTAAAGCCTTGTGGTTTGGCAGCACAAGGGTTCAACCTGTGCAAACCGTAAAAAATCCACAATTCGGCATCGGCTTTCGTTGTTTGGACACAAAGATTTACCCTTGGCGAACTCATAAACAGAAGAAACTTTAAAATGGAGTCGTCGGAAGGTTAAAAAATGACCTACTAGATGTCAAATGTCATTAATGAGAAATTCTTATACGCCGAGCCAAGTTCACTCGCGTGGTGAAGATGTATTAGGGTTTGCAAGCAAATCATGGAATCTGAGTGGTTAAGGTGTATGTGGAAATTAAAGAACTGGTTGTATGATATGATACCCTAATGCAAACATTGGTAGACAGCCTTGGGATTGATATATAGTATGGTAGAGGTACGTATTGGTCTTCTTAGAGATATAACACTAGCTAGTTCACTTGACAATCAAATCGCAAGCCCCTAACCAATATAATGTTGGAGATTATATATGTTAGAAGTTACAAGTGTATGTAGAAATATGTAATTATTAAGTCTTTTACTTAATTAATTACGTTTAGAGCATTAGACATATTAGGGCCGCT